ATACCAGATTTTAATTATCTATGAATCTTTCATCTTGATGTCAGAAGTTTCATTAGTAGTAGCAAATATGTCAGATGACTTAATAAATCAAACGTGACTTTAAGTATCCACTAAGCATTAAATTAGACTCCGCGGTAGTCATAGTCCCATCTCATGTGTCTTTAAAAGCTGGGTATTCACATCCCTCAGCTGGAAACCTGTTGGCTTCAGCATGTACCTCCACCGAAGCCAAACACACACACACAGAGATGCCTTAGAGCACAAACTGACGGACAACTAAATCCTCTTTGCAGGTTGAACGCTCTACCCCACACACAAGTGCCTTATAGCACAAACAGATGGACAACTAAACCCTCTTTTCAGGTTGAACGTTCTACCCCACGCCACTCCCTCCCAAAGAAACATCATCATAGTCAGATCACCAGATACCAGAAAGAGTGGAAATTGTCCATTGTCCTTCTCTGTTCTCATCAGTACAGATCAAGTTGCATGGGGCCAGAACCTCATCTGACAAGGGGTTGGTGTCCCTTTAGCGCTAGTTCCTTAGATAATCCACCAGTAGTTTAGTTGGATTAATTAAATCTTGAAATACAAAGTCAGTGCTCAGATCACTCATACAAGAAGCTAAATCTAGATTTTCTTTTTAAAATCTGACCTGTAGAATAGTGTTAAAAAGGTATCCAGGATGCCCAAAGTAGAACTTTCAAAACACCGTTATTTCAATAACGGTTAGGTGCTTTTAACTTTGGCTAAATTCTCCTTCTGAGCTTCAGCTTCAGTAATCTTCTAAACGTACAGCCCATTTCATAATTTGTTTTTAATTTTTTTTATAAATTCATTTTATTTATTTTTATTTGTAGCTGAGTTGGGTCTTCGTTGTTGTGTGCGGGCTTTCTCTAGTTGCAGTGAGTGGGGGCTACTCTTCGTTGTGGTGTGCAGGCTTCTCATTGCAGTGGCTTCTCTTGTTGCAGAGCACAGGCTCTAGAGCACAGCCTTAGTAGTTGTGGTGCACAGGCTTAGCTGCTCCATGGCATGTGGGATCTTCCCGGACCAGGGCTCGAATCCATGTCCCCTGCATTGGCAGGCGGATTCTTAACCACTGTGCCACCAGGGAAGCCCATGATTTGTTTTTTAAATAAGTGTATAATAAGTCTTTTCAGCCTTGTAATCAAATTCATAATTCAGAGAGTTTTTAATTTAGCTAAAAAGAACTCTGGCTAGCAGACCCTAGATGTGTCCCTTTTAAGATGAGATTATTAGGTAGTTTCTGCTAAGTCTTCAGTCCCTTAGACCACAAAGATTAGTTCCAGATAATTTTTGGTGGCTAGGCTGGCCAACATGTTCACATTTTCCACACACAAGACTCCCATTACCCATCCCTCTTATATACATGTCTGTTCATTCTTTGCTGTTGATCTTCCCACAAAATGTATTATTTCTTGGAGCTGTTAGCATCCAAAGGGGACTGTTGAGCCTGTGATTTCAAAAAGCTTCTATTTTCTCTGTTCCAAAGTATAATTTTTTTTAAAGATTTTTTTTTGATGTGGACCATTTTTTAAGTCTTTACTGAATTTGTTACACTATTGCTTCTGTTTTATGTTTTGGCTTTTTGGCTGCAAGGCATGTGGGATCTTAGTTGCCCAACCAGGGATCAAACCACACCCCCTGCGTTGGAAGGCGAAGTCTTAACCACTGGACCGCCAGGGAAGTCCCCAAAGTATAATTTTTAAATGTACTGTATATTATGGAAAAAACACAAAATACTTATTTTATTCTGTCTGTATATACAGTATAAGAAATTAAATTGTAAAAAAGTGAACTCCACTTTTAATTTAAGCAGACAAAGAATTTCCTCCATTAGTTTTCTGTATTTGGCTGGCCTATGATTTTTGTACCTTTAAAAATACATCTAAGACTCTTAAATACCTGGCTTAAGTATTTTGAGCATTGAATATGTAGAAAAAATGAGAATTATGGAATACGGGGTCTCTCTTATTTTCAGAAGTGGTGGATTTGGCTTTTTGTAGCTCTAGTGTTGGCTCTCAAGCTAGGTTTACACTTCTAGAGGGTCAGAAGTCACAGGAGTGTAGCTGAGTCAGTAGTCATGAATACCCCACATCAGGTAATCCAGGTCTGGAAAGAGGAATAAGCTTCATGTGGTATGAAGGTACACATGACTTTTCATGGATAACTGTACATACAAGGAATGTTGAAGTAGTCTTTGGCCACCTGTTATTTGCTGTTTTCATTCATCCATTCTCCCCTTTAGTATGGCATGCTTCCTTTTCTGAAAATGAGTCTACAGATATGTAAGCAGCTACTATATAGTTGTGCACACACGTGTGTTACATATGTCCAGATCAGTATAATAAGCTAATTTCTAAAATGCCTAGCAGTGCAAATAAAGATCGTACAAATGGCATTATTATTGTTGTTGTTTAACTCTAGAATAAAAGTCTTCTACTTTGAAGTATGATCCCATCTTTGGGATTAGGGCCTTTGATGTTTCATTGTTGTTTTTTTAATTTATCAATTCATCTGAGGCAGCCAGAGAAGGTTCTCTAGAATTTTATGAAGACTATTTCCAATAATCTCATATTATAAACGCTTATTAAGCGTTTTTACTTAAACTCTCTTTTCTCTGTGTACATTTATCCTGTAATGTAGTTGACTTAAATTGTTAAGCAAATCCAAAAAGATTTCTAGTCCCTTTAATTGCATAAACTGTGATTTCTGACCTCAGTTCAAATTCTGTTATCGCTAACAGAAGAAGCTTACAGACCTCTGCCATCAGGCCATCAAGGGGTTAAATTATTTTATCAGATATGTTTTTGAGGGGCCACAGCTATGCTGCCTGTACTGCCTTTTATTTTTTTAACTTTCTAGTTCACTAATCAAATGTATGTTAGATTGATTATTGTAAAAGTATGAACCATAGAAAATTTGACAAGATAGATGTGTAAATTATCCTTCTGACAGAACTAATGATGCACTTCAAGCACCTTCTGTTTTCCAGCGCTTGGTGAGCGACTTCATTAAATATGCAGTGGCTGTTGGGTGGCTTCTCAGAGGATGGTTCAGCTCCTTGTGGAATTGGATTATTACTAGAGGTGTAAAACGAGGCAGACAAGCTAGCTGTTGGGCATCCTGCTGAGGTTCTAATGTGCTCCATCTTGTCGGAGCAGTTGTTTGCAGTCTTTTCAGGACAATTACATCCATAACCACAGGACACATTCAGTGAAACTATATTACAGATAACAGTGGAGACTGGCATTGACTCCTTTTCATCCCACTCTCTTGAGTTGCCTCAGTGTTGGTAGCTTATAATAATGCCACTTCTACCATTCACAGAGTAGTTTTTTTTTTTTTTCTTTTAATACCTTGGAGCAAATCTGGAAATAACTGATTTGTAACTTTTTCTAAGTGCAAAAATCGTAGGATATTTGGAGTGAAAAGATTCAGTAGCTTCTAATCCCTTTGCATATGAGAAAGCTAAGGCTGAGGCATTGTGGTGAGTTGTCCCTTAGGGAGATAGTAGGAGGACCTGGTAGAACATCTTTTAGGTGGTAGAGATTGCATGAATAGCAGTTTGTACTGTTTGGCTTCTGGTTTTAGAGCTCTTTTAAACAGAATTTTTCTTTTGAATTTAAGATTTCTTTTTCCTGCTGTAGAGCATTTTTCCTCATCTTAATACCAGCAATGCTTCTTTATTTCTAGAAGCCAAGCAGAAATATTTTGCTTTCTGAGAATGTCATGCTATTTATTATTTTAATGACAACTGGTGGTTTCCTGGAGTACTGGACACAAAAGACGGTTTGAGTTGAGCTTAAAATGGTATTTAAGTTTTCCAAAAGGGAGATTCTGTGGTGGATCACTGAAGCTTGATAAATGAGAGTGCATTTTAGAATGACAGGCTGAATACTTTAATGAAAGAAGGCTTCCCATTTTAGTTGGCCAATTAAATCGCTGCTGATGACTTTGGATCATTAATGAACATTTGTGGAAAATGACCATTTGATTCAATTATTACAATAATACATTTGAAAAGTACTAACCACAAATAATCCTACCCGTAAATAAGATTTATCCATTTTCCCATAGATAAATCAGCATCCTGCTTTGCTTTTTAATGCCAAAGCAAATTGACATTTCAGAATTCTTTTATAGATTAAGTACATATCCTTTCTTATAAAAGTTCTGCTTAGAAAAGGTTACATTTTCGTTGAATGCCTTTTAAAATATAATTTATGCTGCTAATGATTATATTCGTTATTCTCAGAATAAATTAGCAAGACTTAGAAACAAAGAAGGGGAACATGATACAGTGTATAAAAGCAGATAATTAAATTTAAGATGGTTTAGGTATTTGATTTATTTAGTGCCTAAAAAGACTCTAATTCTGGAAAAATAATAGGAAGAAAATAACAATTATTTGAACATGCAAATTTATTTTAAAGTCATATGAAAAGAAAATGCAAATGGAAAGCTCATAACCAGATTTTTTTCTTAAGCCCAAAGTTCAGATTTTCTTAATTTTTTAAAAGCTTTTGTTCTCAAAATATTTTATGGATATATAGCTTGTCAATTTTTGCTGTAGTATACCCAGCAAATTCATCTGGATATGTTTTCTTTAGTTAACTTTATTTTCTCTGAAACTTTGGCATGTTCTGGTAAAGACAGGAGGCGGGTTCTTTTGAAATGCATGTTTTTCTCATTTTGTTATTTGTAAAATGGGCCATAATCTCAGTGCAGGCTCCCTTCATCTCCATTTTACAGTTTACAAAGAAAGGAGACACTGTGGAGCACAGGCTCCCCTGGGAGTACACTGAGCTTAATGAGCTTGATAGTCTGGTGGGCTCAATAAATCAAATACAGCAAAACATTTCTCATTTTTGAATAAAAGCATTTATCACACAGTGTTTGTTCATTCATGGTCATAAGATTGATTGGTTCCCAGCATCATAGTGTATATTGAAGCATTTTTGATTTTGTTTTTCCAGTGGGCAAGTTACGGAAGCAGTGGCTAAAGGAAAGTATCTCTGATGTCGGCTTTGGGATGCTGAAGTCTGTCAAGGAATATGTGGACCCCAATAACATCTTTGGAAACAGAAACCTTTTATAAATCCATTACTATTGTTAAGAAAAATGTCACTTTTTTTTTTAAGTCTTTTAACTATGGTTATACCAGTAATCAGATATATCATGGACTTTATTTCAGCTACCTTTGTTTGTTGGTTTAAAATAAGTTTGTTTCATTCTGTAGTTTGTTTTGTTTCTACATCTATGGATTGACAGATGGTATTCCTAAATCTCTCTCATTGTAGGTGTATCAGTTTACAGCCAACTGGTTGTCATTTCAAATTTCAGTCAGGCAGCACAAGGCTGCCAGTGGTTAATTTCAGAAGAAGATGCTGCCAGCTGTTTTGTATTGATGCTTCTTCTTAGGGACAAAGCCAGATTTTGGTGTCATCTGTTGTTTCTCTAGCCTCTCTTTTAAAAGAACATTTCTGGGAAGCAGCTATCTAGGGAAGGATTCCACTGAGGAGTGATATACATGTATGTTTTTTTAAGAGTGCATTCTAGTGTGAATAGGTCATTAAGGGAGAATACCCATGAAAGAATATAGGCAACCTCTTATTTAGGATGCCTTCAGTTCTGTAAGGTGCTTGGCCTACATTTTTCTTTGAAATTAGTATACAGTTATAAAACCTTAAATCATTAGTATGCTTTATTCTGTCAGGGGACATGTTTTTGTTCTCCATGTTTCTGTTTCTACTGAGGTATGAGTTGTATTTGTATCACTGAGATAACATATTGTTATATCCTAATTCATTCATAATATGTTTTATAAGAAAAGCTGACTTATCACTCATTGTTTGTGAAGAACAGGTTTACCATGAAAGGAATGTCTTTATTCAACTTAGAGTTCTAATGTTTCTCATTTCACATTCTTGTTGCTGAGATGCAGAAGAAGCTACAACAGGAGCAGAAGAGGGAAGACTTCTTACACTGAATGTCTCCAGTTCAAAGAACTGTTTTGGCTAAAGAAACACAGTCATCATTCAGCTACTGAATTTGAAAACCTCAACAGTTTCAATGACAAAAAACCTTTTAAAAAAAAACCCAAACAACATGATAAATTTCCATATAAAAGTAAAGTTTCAATTTAGTTTTTAATAATGGTTTAATGCCTTTTTTGAATTACTGGTTTAACCTAAATTTAAAAATATAATGTATTAATACACATACCATAATCAAAAGTTTGAAATATCATATTTCTTAAACAATAGGGAGAACGTTAACCACATTTAGCGAACATTTTTACATTCAAACCTGGATATTAAAATAAATGAAATGATTACTTTGAATCACTGTCTGTCAAGGTTCATGGTTCACATTTTGAGACAGATTCTTTTCTTAATGTAGTACCTAACTTTTGATAATTTTTTTAGAATTAATATTTGATCAGCTAATATGAGTCAAAATGCAGACTATCCTTTAAAAGGACACACTGTCTGTCTATGTAGCAACAGCTCCAAAGTATTTTTGGGCAGTTTGATACCTTTTATATCTGAAGTAGCCTTAACCAGAAAATCTAAAATTGATTCACAAAATGATATTTTTAAGACTTCAAAATGATAAATAATTTTTAACAAATAAAATTGGCCTCAAACCAATAAACTTAAAATCTGTAAGCAAATCAAAATGAAACATTAGTTTAACAACAAAAACGAAATATTTATTTATTGGAAGCTGCCTCTCTTCATTGGTGATTTATTTTTAATTATAAAATTTCCAGCAGATCTTTGCTTCAAGCCCTTGATATTTGAAATAGTTAGATACTTGAGGAGGAAATTACACTTGCTTCTCAAATTATAAAAATCTCAGCTTTATGAAATGCATCTATTCATGAAAGTAATTTCTCTAATTGGTGATCAAAATGTAAAATTTATTACGATACTAATATCTCACTGGAGTGTATACATGTTTCTGAGTAATTTTTAAAAAATAAAACTTACAGATTCATAAGCAGATCCATTCCTTTGCACGTGATTGTTATAACGTTCTTTCCTAGGGAGTTCAGATTTCAATAACCTCAGAATTAGGAAATGTAACACCTGAAATTGTTCACTATTCTACATGAACCTTATGGAAATTAGTGATTTATGCGTTTGTTTTCTTCCATGCATGCATGACTCTCCAACCTTGATTTTGTAGTGATGACTACATTTTGTAGTTAGAATCATTTCTACAGGGATCATTTTGAAACACATAAACACTCATCAGTACTGTTTCACTCTGATTTAGTAAATCAGGCTTTCCCTGCTTCCACGCATCCACCTCTGAGAGGTGTCTCAGCTGCATAACTGCATAACACCGATTTGTCTTTCTTAAATTAGTCATATTTCTAATATTTTATTTGATGATGTCACATTTGGGTTGACATTTTAGTGGGAATGGGAACTTGCTGCTAGTGAGAAATGGCATTGAATACTAGAGTCAGTATGAACAGGCTTTATTGACCCCTAGAGAAACAGCTGCCTTAATGTTTGGTGCACTTTACAGTGTATAAGTGAGTTTATTAGTGTTATGCTAAGTAATGTGAGCTTTTTTAGTTTAGTAAGAATTGCAGAAGCCACATGTTTATTGTGCCCAGCATTTTACCACAAAGAAAGAGGATTAAATTCTTTCCTCTCTTGAGGAATTGGGAGTTTTCTTCCTAAATGCTTACATACTATAGTACTATTACTTAAAAGCTGTTTATGAAGCTGGAAGCATTCTAATATACATAGCTGTGTTGATGTATTTTGGAAAACAAAAACGCAGTGAAGGATGAACTTCCATCAGTGTGTGTATTAAACCAGATACAGATGGTTGCAAGAAAACCTCTTTTTCAGAATATTCTCTTAGTAACTGCTGAGTCCTAGCTTGCAGTTTTGAAAATGACTTTTGCTTGTTGGCTTCAGAGGTTTTCCATTGTCATATTCTTTTATAGCTGCAACTTCTTAACTATAGCTGATCAGACAAGCCCTGTGGTCCCAAGCTGAAGTCTGTAGCCTTGGCTGTTCAGACAGGCTGAGTTTGGTCGAACATCTATTCTATGTAAACGTAGAACACAAACATTTATTATGCATTGATGCACAAACTGCACATGCTGGTGCTTGAAGCAGCCAAGGGGGAATTCTGTGGAAAGCATGTCTACATTTTAAGAAGCACTGAGACAGGAGTTAAGGACAGCTTTAATAGCTTTTTGCTACCACTTAATCTTTGGCGATTTCGATTTTAATTAGGGTTTAGCTCGTGGTGGGAGAAAAGCCGAAAATAACAAGTGCCAGGATAGGATTGAAGAATCCAGAATCACCTTTGGCTTTATGAAAGCTTGCCTTTGCTCAAGGCTTCACGTTCCCAAATGAGCCACCTGTCAATATATACATTTAATCCTCATTAATTTCATATAGTACATTGATGCGGAAATCCAGAATGTGTAAAAGATTGTTTTAAACTATTGAAATACACTGTGTAACATGAAGGATGTAAGTTACTCAGCTTTCTGCTCCCTAAAGCAAACAGTGTTTGTCTTTAGTGTGAAATTTAACTGTAAAAACTACCTGTAATGTCAACAGATTATAGAAACTTATATTATTAATAAAATGGACCTGGGTTTAAGAGATTTTTTTCTTCAGAGGGGGTGTGAAGCTGTTCATTCTTCTGTTTGCGTCTGGGTTTTTCTTTCGATTTTAGTTTTTCATCTTCATATTTCCTCTGATTTGAAAACAAAATTAATTTTTATAATTTTATTGATGAAGCATGATCAAGTACAACCTAAATATGAACTAAATCCTTTTGGATTGATAGATGAATATATTGTTAGCTAGGTTTTATTACTCTCTAATCATTTTAAATCAATGTTATATTCCTAGGAGGTGTTTAGTCTCCTGTGAACCTGAAGCATTCCCATTTGAACCTTGGAAGATCCTCAAAGAATGAGCGCTCTTGTGCTCTCCTAACCACAAGAATTCCTTAACAAATGTGAGTAAGGACCACTGAAGCCAAAGAACCATCACAGAATTAAGTAACTTTAGTTCTGTGAACATGAAAAGGTTTCTTTTTTGGTTCCCAAAGGAGATTATTTTATACTTTTTTTTTTCCACAAGGAACAAAAATAACACATTAAGTATCATTAAGAGCATTTTTCAAAGACTCTGAACTTCCAAATCAGAAAGAGAGAGAGAGAGAAGGAAAAAAAATATTTTAGTGTGGATTTCTAAGCAGCATATATACATGTTTTTAAGGCATCTTATTGTTGGCAGTGTTTTTTGTAAGCACCCTATGAAACATGTTGTTTAACCCCTAAAGCAATCTTGTTCACATATCCAAAAAGGACATGAAACGCTTGTGCTGGTATAAAGTTTCTCTAAATAATTATTTTTTGAGCTATTTAAAGAATGTCCCCAAAAGCTCACAGTGCCTTGTTGGGATTTTTTTTTCCATGAAATAGCCATTATTTAAAATGAGTGGGAGAGGATAAGTCTTTAAGGCCAGAGCTTGTGTAGCAGTTCAAGGCTATTCCTCTTCAAGAACACGTCGGAATGAAGTAGTTGTGTGTGGAAACACAAAAGATCCTTTCCACAGTGTTGGTTTCAATCACCTATTCTAGCATATTTAACTAATTGTGTGGTGGACCTGTACTCTCACATACACCTATTCAGTCAGTGGGATTTACATGTACTTTCTTGCATTTTCATTCCTTGTGTCCCAACTTAGTAGCCCTAAGGTGTGGGTTGGTGGATGTGGCATACTCAGTCCTGGAGACACCCCCTACATGTTTTGGGTGTTTGCTCACACAGCTCCCTGAGGAGCAGAGCCTGGAGGAGGGGAGGGGGGTGGGTTCTTATTCCTTATGTTGGGGGTCAGTCCTTTTTGTGTGTGATGGTGCCTTCAGAATAATGAATATTTCTGTTTCTGAACAATGATAAATCTTCTGAGAAATATGTGTAGGTTATATTTTTTAATTTTTGTCCTTTTTCGCTAAGCCTGTGAAATACTTTGGCTCTGATACAACTTGACTTGAATAATATCTTATCCTGAGTCTTCCTCTAAGGCAGTGCATATTCCTGCCAGTACTGTAGTCATCTTTTGGGAACTACATGTGGGTAAGCACTTGTATGTAAGCCATTATACTGCTGTAACTAATGCATACAAACAATTCTTCTCTTTACATTAATAGTCTTAAAAGTGGATATGTAGTGGGAAGGAAAATTCTTAAGGGAGTCCAGCATAGCTTTGTCAGTTCAGACTGAGCCATACTGTTTTCCAAAGGGCTCAACACATAGTCTATATACTGTGCTTTCAGTGTATGTTTGGATCTCCTTTTACTGCTTTTCCTAGAATGTACTGTTCTATAAGCAAATGCCCATGTGTGATTTTTAAGATGTGCTGGGAAAAAAATAAAACAATACCAAAACCATTCATTGTTACGGAAATTGTTGCTTTTTTTCATGTTGATTCCATCTAATCTTTACAGTGTGTTCCCATAAGTAGCCTCTCTAGTAGTGAATGACAAGTGCACAGATACTGATTTTGTCCCTGCCTGTGGCTCCCACACTGGAGGGAAGGTTGTAGTTGTCTGGGCTCTGAAATAACTGAAGATTGGACCTGTCGAACACAGTCTTACTTGATACATTTAAATAATAACTTGCCATACTAAGAGTTTAGCTCTTATATAATAATTTAGTTGTAGTTAGTTAAAGAAAGCAGTTTTCTGCCGGGCTCATATAAGGCTCAGACTGAATGAACCTTAGAAATCATCTCATCTTTTTCCCAAACACAATTGGTATCTGACCATCCTACCCCTCAGACCACAAATTGATCACCAGTTTTTCTGAACATGTGCTGTGACCACATGGGAATTTACTGCTTTTCCAGCAAGCCTTTTCCCAGTTTCTGAAATCTTCCGGTATTAAGAGGTTTTTACTTATAAGACTGAAATCTGTTTCTCCCTTCTATCCATTAACGTAACTTCTGTCTTGTGTAGTCATGAAGAATTGCCCAGTTGCTCTGTTGAAGGGCAGCTCTGCAGGCATTTAAAGACAGCTCACATTCCCCCAGATCTTCTTCAGTCACCTGTTGCTCCTGTCAGTTCTAGACCCTTCATCATCCTAATCTCTCTCCATATGTGCCCTTTTGATGTTTTTAAAGTGAGGTGTCGAGTTCTGAATGTTCCAGAATAGGACTGATGATTCCCTTATTCCTTATTCCAATATTCTTTAGTCACTCTTGCATTTTTGGTGGACAGTGGACATTACACTGTCATCTCACACTGAACTTGAATTTAACAGTTTGTCTTTTCTGCATGTGCCATTTTGTCCACATCTCCATGGAGGCTGATTTTTTATTTTATATTCATTTTTATTGGAGTATAGTTGCTTTACAATGTTGTATTAGTTTCTGTTGTACAGCAAGGTGAATCAGTTATACATATACATATATCACCTGTTTTTTAGATTTCCTTCCCATTTAAGTCACCACAAAGCATTGAGTAGAGTTCCCTGTGCTAAACAGTAGGTTCTCATTAGTTATCTATTTTATATATAGTAGGTATATATGTCAATCCCAGTCTCCCAATTCATCCCACCCCCAGCTTCCCCCCTCGCCTCGGTATTCATAAATTTGTTCTCTACATCTGTGTCTCTATTTCTGCTTTGCAAATAAGTTCATCTGGACCATTTCTCTAGATTCCACATATAAGTGATAGTATACGATATTTGTTTTTCTCTTTCTTCACTCTGTATGACAGTTTCTGGGTCTATCCACGTCTCTGCAAATTGCACTGTTTTGTTCCTTTTTATGGCTGAGTAATATTCCATTGTATGTACGTACCACATCTTCTTTATCCATTCCTCTGTGGATGGACATTTAGGTTGCTTCCATGTCCTGGCTCTTGTAAATAGTCGTGCAATGAACATTGGGTTGCATGTATCTTTTTGAATTATGGTTTTCTCTGGGTATATGCCCAGGAGTGGGATTGCTGGGTCATACGGTAGTTCTGTTTTTAGTTTTTTAAGGGACCTCCATGCTGTTCTCCATAGTGGCTGTATCAATTTCCATTCCCACCAACAGTGCAAGAGGGTTCCCTTTTCTCCACACCCTCTCCAGCATTTATTGTTTGTAGATTTTTTGATGATAGCCATTCTGACCAGTGTGAGGTGATACCTCATTGTAGTTTTGATTTGCATTTCTCTGATAATTAGTGATGTTGAGCATCTTTTAATGTGTTTTTTGGCCATCTGTAGGTCTTCTTTGGAGAAATGTCTATTTAGATCTTCCCCCCCATTTTTTGATTGGGTTATTTGTTTTTTTGATATTGAGCTGCATGAGCTATTTTGTATATTTTGGAGATTAATCCCTGAGGCTGACTTTTTAAAACCCTCATTACTTATATTTATTCTTAGTAAAATTTGTATCTTACTGTATTTAGTTCCAGATTTTCAAAATTTTAGAATCTTGACTCTTACCCAGAGTATTTTTTGTCCCATCCAGCTTTGGGACATCAATAGAATTGAGACATGTACTGCCTGGATTCTCAACCAAGTAATGGCAGGCATCTGCAACACACAACAAGGGCCAATAACACATCCAGGAAAGAGCATTCAGGGTTCAGCTAGCGCACATTTCCACTTGACATGCTCTTGTGTTCACCTCATATTTTTACATTTTGTCAACAAATAGGCCTTTTTTCAATGAATCAGCGTTTATGCCAGACAAACTTTAAACATGCAAATGACGTCTACTTGGATTTAACATCGCCAGCTGCCAGACTGAAATCCTTTGCTAAAGCTTGCTGCTCCAATTTCCTGTGCTACCCTATCAGAAAAACAAATGAAGTTTTTAACTGCCATCACATTTACTTTTGCCTGTGTTTGCCTTCAGGGGCATGTCTCTTCTTTTTCAATATACTCGTAAACTCATCTTGTGCTGCATTTTCTGGTGTGATCTGTTGATTGGGCATAGTATTGACTGATGGACAACCTCTAAATCCATTCTTGCATAGTTCTGTCACATCCTTTGTACCTCATTGTGTCCACATTAGATCTGGAAAGATAATTTTTTTAAATGACTGAAATTTGTCACTGTAAAGCTGTAAAATAACTTAGGAGAAGGTGGAGTTCTGAGTCTAAGAACACAGAGAAAAGGGTTCTATTCTGGAAATTTTGCAGGTGCTCCATTTTTCTCTACCAAACTACTAGTCACTTTTCCTATTTGGGCCTAATATCTTTTGTAAAATGAAAAACTCTGAGCTCCCTTCTAAGTCAGTCTCAGTGATTCTGATGAGTCTCTATTTTTGCCAAACACTACCCTAGAATTGATTATTGCATTAATAATTTATTTTTTAATTTAACCATTATTAGCCAGACACTGCTGGGCACTTAACCCTAGACAAGAAGTTCTAATTGTTATCACAACAACCCTGTGAAATGTATGGTATCGTCCCCTTTTTTCCGGTGAAATAACTGAGATTTAGCGACGTTGAATAACACACACTGTTAGTAGCTGGGAAGTGGCATTGCCAGGAGATGGAGCCAGGTCTGACAAAATCCAGTCTCTGTGCTGGCTGCTTCACTGCTCTAGGCTGCTTGTGCTGGGTAGTAAGTCTGATGTATACAGAATTTCTGCTTTTTAAAGTAGATTGTTAGTCATTGCCCTCCACAGAAGGGCACAAGTACAGAGGGGAAACAGCTGTCTTCATGACTACATGCCATAGAAATACCAGGAAGCCTTTTGTCCCAGATGCTGTCATGCTCTGTAAATGTGTAATCCCTGCATTGATGCCTTTATAGATTTAATATGAAACTCATGAAAGGAAGTGCTGTGTTTGATGGACTTAATAACTTTGCATTTTTATAACTTTAATATTGTATTCCTTTGAGCTGTACTTAAAAATGTAAGAGTAACCTGTTACTATAAGTCATACATATTCCTGTAGAGAGACTAGAAACTGAAGACTATTTAAGATTAAAGAAATGTTTTATTATAATCTAAGACCAATCTAGGTTCTTTGGAAAGTCACAGTTCCTTAAAACTGCTAATTTAAGAATTAAGGTTGCTGCTGAAGGATTAGGGTACTCAAAAAGTTGCATATATTTTATAATTAGAATGAAGGTGTAAGTATAGAACTTGATGGTTACAGTCATGGTGATTATGTGGTTGGACAACCAAGAACCCAGAGTTACTGGCACATTACAAAATGTGCTGTTTAACTAATACTAAGGGTATATAGCCCAATAAGTGGAAACGAAACCCCCAAATGTCACATTAGTCCCAGTGGTAGGTCAGCAGGGGATAAGAGGCAGTTAGTGAATGGTGGATAGTGAGCTGCAAGTCACACCATTGGTAGGAAGCTGCTCAGTGTGGCAGAGAATACCCTCAGGAAAGCACAACCTCCCAGATGTTTCCAGATCACCAATAGTCATTAAAAAAAAAAAAGACAAAGGAACATAAGACCAAAGATTGTATTTAAAAATGCTGATGTTCACCAGAAATGAAAGGTTTGTCTTTGGTGATGTTATCTTTTTAAAATCAGTTAGTGTAGATAGCCATATTCTGCTTACCTGAACAGACTTCCAGCACTGCTAACCCTCCGAATGCCAGTGTGGAAATGAGCCCAAGCAAGGATTATAGGGCAGAAGGGTCAGAAAGTTACTCTCTTAACACTTCCCCTCCAAGCCATTTGCCCTTTCTTTAAAAAAAAAATTTTTTTTCTCATTTGCCCTTTCTTATCTCACTAGAAGCTTATTTACTTGGGCATCTACCCCATAGCCCTCAACAAACACACAAATTGTTCTAACCTCAGGCCAAACCTATCACTGACAATTCTGTTTGGATTCCACCTGAGGTGCTCCTCTGAGGTCTGAGAGGCCATACCTCTATCACCCCTTTGGGAGGGAGTGTCATCTTCTATGATTACAGCTGTCTCATTGCTCAATGATCTCTGCCATCCCCACAGTTTCCCAATTCCCAGTTGTCTGCTTCTCATGAATGGGTCAGAGTTAGCCACTCTACACCTGACCTTCACAGATGACATTAGTGTCAATATCCATGCCACAGCTGAGGGCAAATTCAAAGAGGGGCTGTCATGAGAAATATGAATCCTTTTGTAGGCATGTCATGTCACTGATCAAATGAGTCTGCTTGGTTGTTCTGCACAGAATAAGTTTTTGTTTATGTCTGAGAAAATGGAAATAACTACTTGGGTACAACAAACACATGCGTATATTCTGAACATTTGTGTGGAGATGGGTTGACTAAGGTTATGAAATAATGGATTTAATATTTGATCTTCTTAAAATACACTCTGCAGATATTATGAAGAAATCCTGAAGGAGCAAAGGCTTGAGAAATATAGGGAAATCTTTTTTTGTCAAGAAAAGTGCTTTTAGCACTGAGTACATGAAGTTCTAGGAGCATAGA